ATCACAAATTTGTTATTTCTGATCACATTTTTTTGTGATCAAAACTGATCACAATTTTCGGTACCAGAAGGGGGACCTGGGAATCTAATTTTTTTTCAAAAAAATGAAATCGACATGGTTCCAGGGCGATTGAGGTGATTCAATCATGAATCCGGCCTTTCAATCATGAATGCAATCCAAAAACTAGCTCAGTAGAACMTGGTAGACTTTCTACCAGGTCATTTTGAAGTTGATAACTTCAAATCGAAGTTAAGAACTTGAAATTATTACTTTTTGCTCTCTTTTGCGACCGTATTCAATTGTTACGAAACGCGTAGTATTGGTACCGAGGATGGAATATGAATTTTCCAATCATTCTGCAGTAGTTTTCGACGCGTTGCGCGCCCCTCCTATTTATGACCCCTGAGATGACCCCTGAGTCAACCCCCCTCTAAATTATGACCCCTGATCACGACTAGAAAGTACGATCAAGAACGAGTACCTTTACGAGTACGCTTTTACTCCTGACGGAGGTTTTGAATGGTCGTCGACAACCTCCGTAAAACGTGTTCTTTTCGCTATGGGCTTAGATCAAAATCGCCATACTGCCAACAAAAAATCAAGCTCGTATTGCTCACTGATAGGATAGTTTTTCATCACTGTATGGTACTTACCTACCGCATGACACGGGAGTAAGACGATTAATAAAGTAAGGGCACTTTTCCTCGTCAAATTTTCCACGATTTGTGAATCGAACATATGACCCACAAAAGCTTTTAGCTTCCGTACCGTACCCTTACTTGAATGACTCTGCTCAGAACAGCTTCTATGAATTTTTGTTACTGCTTTGTGGTTGCCGACGATAATTCAAACTGCTTAAAACAGCTTCTATGAATTTTTGTTACTGCTTTGTGATTGCCGACGATAATTCAAAATCTCATCCCATAATCGTGATATTATATTTCACACACTACTTCATCCAGTAAGTAGAACGGAATGAGATTGCTCCTTTGTTACGGTGGCAGCAGTACGGATTGTTGTGGGATTTCTTCTTGGACTCGGTCGCTTCTCACAATTTGATTTTTTCACTATTTTTCAAGTTATGCGATTGATAGCCTTCACTGTTGGTCTAGTTTTTGCTAGCGTGGGGTTTTACCCTGTCGCTGCTGATATTGACACTATAAATTGTGTCGATAACGATGAGTTTCGCATGAATGGTAACGAAGGAAAGGATTGCGCCTGGGTTGGCCAGAGACAGACAGAGAGAAGATGCCAGAGGAGGGACCAACTAACTGGTAATCGTGCTTCGTGGTACTGTAGACTTACGTGCGATCACAAGTGTCGACAGACGCTCTCACCCGGCGATCAATATCTTCGCGATTGCTACAACGATGAGCCAAACTATAAGTTTAGAGGAAAGGCCCAAAAAGATTGTGAATGGGTACGCAGAAAAGCACAGAGAAGATGCAGATTGAGAGACAGAAATAGAAGGAATAGAAAGGTTAAGGAATTCTGTCCTTCTACCTGTAACTTGAGATGTGTGTGTGCTGACTCAGAATATCGATTCCGATTTGCGGGAGAGAAAGTAAAATGCGAAGATATTACAAGGGAAGATTGTAATGTTCAGGTTGGTCGCTCCAAGCTTGTTTTAGACTTTTGTCCTTTAAAATGCCAGGCCTGTCTCGACTATAACAGTCAATTTCCGACTCTAGCTCCTTCATCTCTTCCATCATTCAGTCCCACGGAAACACCTTCCGCAACTACGGTCACTAACGCTGCTTTTGATGCGGGTACAACAGCAGCTCAAGTGGAGGCTGCTTATTTAGCAGCGATATCTGAAACACTTCAACTTTCTCAAAGGAAATTGCAGGTTGATGATGAAATCGTGGATGTATCTGCCGAAGCTATAGATTGTGTCGATGTGGATACATCAGCAGATCTCGAAGACAAAACCTGTTTTCAATGTACGGTGACTATCACAGCTCCGCCATCCACGAACGTGAACCCAGATGCTCAAGTAGAAGCGATTGAACAGGAAATTCAAGGAGGTTCGGAGTTTACTGAAAAACTCGAACAACAAGGCGTAACCGGTGCGGTTGTTGCACTAATAGCGAGTATGGAACCAAGCTCAATACCCAGTTCCTTTCCAAGCGTAGTACCAAGCTCAACCCCAAGCGCTCAACCGTCAGTGATTCCTTCCGCAATACCAAGTTCCATGCCGAGTTCCTGGCCAAGCTCGGTGCCCAGTGAAGCCCCGAGCCTTGCACCGTCTGCAATGCCTTCTGCAGCACCCAGTTCCTTTCCAAGTTCCTCACCAAGTTTGTTACCAAGCGCAACGCCCAGCTCTATACCGTCTAGACTTCCTTCTGCATCACCCAGCTCCATTCCCAGTAAATTACCAAGTTCGTCACCGAGCATGAACCCAAGTTCAATTCCAAGCTCACTACCCAGCTCAATGCCAAGCTCGAATCCAAGCTCGAATCCAAGCTCAAT